TATGTTTCACTGAAGCAGGAACTTTACCTGTTGTGTTCACAACTGTGTCTCCAACACCTAGAAAAGCATCTGACACATAGTAGGATCTCAAATGTTGTGGAAAGGATACAAGAAAAATTAAAAAGTCCTATCTCCCTAAGAAATAGAAAACTTTGCTGTGGGCCTGTTTTTATCTGAAATGGTGGGCAGACTGGACTTGGGTTGGCCCTGAGGGTGGAGATCAATGGCTATGAAGGTCATCAGAATGAGCCCCATGCCCACGAGAACTTTATTCCAAGGCTCTGGGGCTGTCCTCACAAGCTAATGTTGCTGCAAATATCCTGTCCCTGTGCTGACCCTAGCAACTTGGGCTTGTAGGTTTCTGGCGATGGGCGCCATGCCAGCATCTTACAGCACCAAATGCTTCCAGGGAGGATGCAACTGGCTGCTCAGGCCCAGCTCTGAAATCACAGATAGAAAATATTTATTGAGCACCCCCTGTGTGCCAGGCACAGTGCAAGGCATTCTACATGTACTAATGCTACAAAGTAGGTGTTGTTATTTCCATTTTAGAGATGAAAAACTGAAGCTCAAAATGATTAGGTGATTTGCCAAGATCACAGAGCAGGACGTGTCAGAGCTGAGATGTCGGAGTCCAGGTTTGACTCCAATGCCCGGGCTCTGTTCTACTCAGCCACAAAAACCAAAACTTCTAATCCAAGACAAGATCTGCCATCTCAGAGCCCTGAGCTCTGTGGGCCTCACCACGAGGCTTTTCAGCCCCTTGTGACACACAGACCCTCAGTCCCCGTCACCCAGTGGTGCCTCTTGACTCCTGAGGAAGGTGCCAGGGATCCAGGGTGGGCAGGGCCAACTTGGCAAATGAAATGGAGCAATGAGAGGTCCAGCTGTGCTCTGAAGCCTAGGCAACATCGCAGGAAGTGCAGAAGGATGTTTGGATTCAAGAACCCCGAGAAACTGACCAGGGAATCATCGTGATAAATAAAATTAATGCATATAGCCTGACCCTCTAGCAATGACATTAGGTTTTTTTATTTATTTATTTTATTGTTTATCTATTTATTTATATATTTGAATCAAGGGAATATGATAAGGCAGAGTATGCTGGGGATGAGATCTTTACAGCAGCTAAAGTGATACCAGGGGCTTTGTGAAGCAATTTGCCCTCTTCTGGTTCTGAAGCTCCATTGCTGGTAGGACACACTACAACCCTCTTTTATCCAGGCCACACTTCCCAGAAGCAGCCGCCCAGGGTGCACAGTAAAGGATGGTCCACCCTCATTAAGGACTCAGCCTGCTTCCAGGTCTGTCCAACTAACGTTCTTTCTCCTGTCCAGTGGCTGACAGTGCCAGTGATTGTGTTTGTGGCTTATGAATGATCTCTGAGGTCATTAACACTCTCAGCTTCTGGCATGGTCTGCTAAAGGTGCTGGTGACTTAGCAGCTCAGAAGAAAAGGCTGATTATAATGAAAAGAACAAAGCACCAAGGGTTGGAGAGAGTGGGTGGAGACCTCCCCCGGCTTTGGGGGTTCTAGACTGTGGGATTCTGGCTGAACCCCAGGAGACAGAAAGAGGGATTCCAAGTCCGAGGGTTTATGTTACTGTAGAAAAGTGAGTTTCCCAGAGTTTGAGATGGGAAGGCTCCTGAGGAGACAGGAAGCCACCCCTCTTAGTATGTGTCCTTGAACAGTCTGACCAACAGACTGGTTGAGTGTCCACTATCCATGCACATAGGAAATATCAATAAAGTGCAATCTCTTTCCAATTGTTTGAAGCCATAGAAGTTCTAATATTTTCTCCCCACAACCCAGAGGCTCATTTCACACAGGGCCTCATGCATTCATGCCTTTTTTTGGAAATCCAGTCTCCAAAGAGAGGAGATGCTGAGCCAGGCACTGGCAGGTAAGACAGAATGAGAAGGGTATCTAGAGTGAGGGTCAATCAGGTTTTGGGGGAAAGAGGGAGAGGGAAAATAGAGAGTTGAGGTTTTCCTAGCATTTCTGGCTGGGATTGCAGGTCAGTGGAGTATCAGGTTCTGACAGGCAGCATTTCCTTGGAGACACAGGTACAAAGTTGTCTTGTCCCACTGTAGCCTCTCAGTGAGGAGAAGATCCGAAGGCTGTCTCTGTCCTCTGCTTTTCTTGAACTTTGCTCCTCTGTACTCTCTGCCTTCATTGAATGGACATGTAGAATAAGCAGCTGACTCAAAAACTTAAGACCTGGGTTGCAGTTTCTGCTGCCTCTATTGCTTATTAGCAGGTGGTTCTGGCACTGCTTTCTCATCTGCAAAATGAGAATAAAGAATTTATTCACAGGATTATTATGCAACTCAGAAAGATCAGGCACACGCACAGGAAAAGGCTCTGAAAACTGCAAAGCACTACATAAATGCATGGTATTATTATGACTTATTACTATCCTGTATGCATCGGAACTCAGGTACTAGGCAAGACATACCGACTCACTCTGCCTTTGTTTTTCTGGGACACATTCTAGAAGGGTGTGTAGCCATGTGGAGTGGGAAGTGGATGCCAGGATGAGTAACCTGTGGGCAGTATGTCTGCATAGCTAAACAACCTGAAATACCACCGACCTCAGGTATTCTAAGACGAGAGGTCACACTTGGAAACAAGATGGCCTGGATGGTACAGAGGTTGCTGGGGCTTCTGCAGCCAACGAGCAAGTCTGCCTAGGAGAAGAGCCTGGTCTCCCTGGAAACTCCCTACTCGGGGCACTTCTTCAGTTGATCTGAAAGAATTCTAAGAAGAAGCTGACACTAGACCAAGCATTGTTCAGAACTGGGAGATAAAACTTCTTATCAGGTCTGGCTTGCTCTAGCCCCCAGGTGTAATCAGTCTATTAACATATTTACTGAATGTCTACAATTCAAGCTAGGTAGGTAGGTAGGTAGGTAGGTAGGTAGGTAGGTAGGTAGGTAGGTAGGTAGGTAGGTAGGTAGGTAGGTAGGTAGGTAGGTAGGTAGGTAGGTAGGTAGGTAGGTAGGTAGGTAGGTAGGTAGGTAGGTAGGTAGGTAGGTAGGTAGGTAGGTAGGTAGGTAGGTAGGTAGGTAGGTAGGTAGGTAGGTAGGTAGGTAGGTAGGTAGATAGATAGATAGGTAGGTAGGTAGGTAGGTAGGTAGGTAGGTAGGTAGGTAAGTAGATAAATAGGTAGGTAGGTAGATAGATAAATATATAGACAGACAAAGATAGATAGATGATAGAGATAGAATAATTGATAGAGGATAGATAGTGATAGAGATAGACAAATTATAGAGAGACAGATACAGATACTTAGATGGAGGGTTGAATGGATGGGTACAAACATGAAAAGCCACTAAGAACATCAGGAGAAGAACAATTTATTGAGCACCTACAATGTGCCAGGTACGATGTGCCAGATGCTTTCAGGTGTGCTACCACACCAGCCATTGCTGAGTCCTTGCAGCAACTTCTGAGGCATCATCCTCCCCATTTGCCAGATAAGAAGCAGAGACCCAGAGAAGTTAAGTAACTCACCCAGAGACTTCCAGCCTCACAGCCGCTGTTCTTTGATCTAATTCTCACTGTTCCTGAGTCAGAGAACACCCAGTCCCACCCCCACCTCCCAGCTCTGAATTGTCTTTGTTCCTCTTGAGCCTTTGTTTTGTATGAGAACCTCTCAGAGATTCTGAGAAAAGCCCCCAAACACTGCATTGATTGAGAACCTGAAACTGACTCCTCAGCCATTCCTGTTCTAGCCGCCTTCAAGTTTCACAGGTGAAAGTGAGGCCTCTCAGGAGAAATGAAAGAGCTTTCTCTTCAGGTGCCCACTCCCTGCCAAGCAGCACAGAAATGTTTCAGGCTGGCCAGGCTCCAGAGGCACACTAAGGAAGTTGGTTTGGGGCCAAAGGCGTCTATGGTACATTGTACGCTGAGGTCCTCCCCCCCTGCCCACCTCCTTTTACTTCCTGCAGCTGCATTCATGCTTTCTCCTGCCTCTCTCCCTGTCTCCCCACCTCCCCACCTCCAGGACTGGCTGGGGTCTGGGCAGGAGCTTGGCCATGATGTCAGGGAGGAAAGAGGTGCCTCTGGGTGTCTTGTCACAGCCTCAGCTCTCTCCCAGCCCCTCAATCTGACTCCCTCCCTGGCTCCCAGCTCTCTCAGGGTGCAAAGCCAAGCCTCCAAGGAATTTTCTGTGCCTACCCCCATGGGGCTGGAGCCAAGAGTGAATTTGAGGGCTACCAGCTATGATGAGTGGGAAGACTCAAGGCTCAGTGAACACTGTCAAAGAACTTCTGTTAAAAGGTTCAGCTGGCCACAGAGGACAAAGACCTTCATCTCTGGGATGCTCCTAAAGAGACTGTGTGGGGAGTTAAAGAATTCCCTGCAAGAAGGCTGGGATGGGGGAAGGAGGAGAGATTGAGAAATCTATCCAAATATCTCTGAGTGTCTATCCCTCCTCTTCTGGCTTGCTGAGACTCTAACCTCCATTCTTTTGGCCTCTGTGTCCCTTTTTGAAACTCCCAGTCTGGAAAGCACTAAGTCCTGGGATCTGACTCTTTTAACATAGAATAGGCATTCTGTTGATCCTAAAGAAACTCTTAACACACACAACCAGGACACAGAATTTCAGAAATGGTCAAGTTCTCATTTTATGGATGGGAACTTGAGGATTAAAGAGGTAAAGTGGCTTGCCTGAGGTCCTACTGTTAACTCCCATTCCACTGCACCAGGATGGACGGCTGTCCTCCAAATTCAGAACCTGGCATGGTGGGTGGAGTCGCCACTTTATTTGACTCTCATGGGACTTTGATCTCAGGAATCTTTTCCAGCTGATGTCCATAAGCACTGCTGAGACATGAACTCAGAAACAAATCTCTGGAAGCCAGTAGCCATAGCAGGAACTGGACGGTTCCCACAGACACCCCAGGACCAGGGCAGGGAGGAGCTGTGGGAGGCCCCACCCACCTCTGTTTCTGCCCAGCTGGTTTGGCAGCTCTGTCTTCCCCAGAGTGAGAGCCACTCTATCAGAGTGGTTGTGTGCTGCATCCAAGGGATCAGGGCTGAGGATGGGGGAATCCTTCAGACCCAGAAGACCATGCTCTGACTGAAAGTCCTGCCTGAAGGCCAGAAGGACTTGCCCTAGCAGAGCCTGAACAGCTGCCTGGTAAGGGAACTGCTGGCCCCTCCTGGTGCTTGGAGAGATGGGAGGGAAGGAGATCCAAACACCAGCCCTGCTGGGAGCCGGGTGGAGGGGGGTGGGGAGGAAAGGGACAAAGCCCAGAATTTGCTAAGCACCTAATTTGCATCGGATCTTACCACTGTATGAACCATTGAACCATTGATACTATCCCGTTTTACATGGAGGAAACTAAGCATCAGGGAGAAGTGGCACCATGAAGCAAGCTGAGATTAGAGCCCCTTCTGTGTGACACTAGAGCCACCATCGTTCACCCCTGTGCTTCCAACCATCCAAGAGCAGCAGACACAGGGCACACCATGCACGGCTACCTTCTGTGATTTTCTAAGGGAAGACTCATGGCAGTAATGCCTTTCCTCACCTTAACCTAATTTGGGCTCCACTCCTGCTTTCCAGCAAATTCTGTCTATGCTGAAGTGACTGGGGACAGGGAAACAGTGCCTGAGTAGGAAGGAGGCTGGAGTGTGACAAATTTGGACTTCACAGTATTTATGTGACAGAGATTCTGGGAACGGAAGTGGAAACCACACATATATGAATGACCTCTGCTTCTCAGAGCCAGCCCAGAAGAAGGTGCCATCAGCCACTTAGGTGGCCCTAATGTCCTTGTCCTTGTCCTTGTCTGACCTTGTCTTTCCTGAGTTGGTGCCATTCAGCTCACACTGTGGTGGCAGCTTGGTGTATATTAGAAAGAGTGGGAGCTTTGGGTTCTCGTAGTTATAGTGGGGTCACTGAATTCCCATGGAAGACCCAGAAGGCAGAGGAGAATGAAAACTAATGTTTATTGAGTGCTTTCTATTCCGATTTGCCCAATGGGAAAACTGAGGTTCTGAGAAGTTAAATGACTCCCGTATATCTGAATCCAAAGCTCAAGCTCCTCTCTATCGTGAAAGGAGGGCTCTTGGCCAGGGTGCCCTCAAGATAGGGTAAGAGTGCATAGGCTACCTCTACTCAGGAGCCTCCCGGGACCTCCTGAGTACCATGTCCCCAGCAGACATGGAGGACTAGATGGCTCCAGCCAGAATTTCCGTCTTGCATCTGTGAGGACAACCCTCAAGACACTGCCCTCTGGTGGCTCAGTGCACTTCTTGGCTAAATGCCACTCCCCGTATCTGTATCAGAACTGATGGCCTGAGCCTCCATTCAGGCTGGCAGATACATAAATATCCACTTAATGATAGGCTCCTCTGCCACACGGGGTGATGGCACTAGCTGCACTCGCGTCTTGTGCCACGCTGTGGATGGTATGGGTTTGGTGTGAGGACAGAATTAAGAGGAATCCTAGATGCAGTGCAAAGAACAGGGACCTGGAAAACATAGATTCAATCCATGGCCACTTAATTGCTGTGTGACCTCAGCGAAATCCCTTCACAAATCTGAGATTCGGCTCTAAAAACTAATACCGACTGGGCTAGACGGTCATGAGAATTAAGTGAAATTATGCACTGGACCTGGCACCTAGCACACAGAGGGCATTTACAAGGCTTTCCCCACTGCTCTTTTCTTCCACTGTAAAATGAGGCATACTCAGCCACCTAACCAGAGCAAGCAGTGTAGGATGGGATCACATTTCTGATTCTAGCCTGGGCAAAGCTGCTCAGAGCATGAGACGCCTTCGGAGAGGTTCAGAGGCCCAGGCCCCAACATTCTCTCTTCCTAACACAGAAAAACACTATTCAAAAGGAGTTTTAGAGCTGAAGATGAGATGATTCCCCAACTTACTTGATCAAGGGAAGTTTCCTACAGGAAGAGAAAGAATTGAGTAATATCCCCAAATGAGAATTGAGATCATTCAGGCCAGACTAGGAAGAAGTTGCAGATGGCCATGAATTGGGGGAAGAGGCTGAGAACAAGTTGGGTAGGAGAGTGCTCATGGGTGAACGTCCACATCTTTGTCCAACATCTGCAGGACCCCCACCCTCCTTTGTCCATCTGGCCGAAGCAACACATTCTTCAAGAATCAAATGACCTTCTCTGTGACTTATATTCTGGTACATGCTTCCCCAATGGAAGTGACCACTCACTTCCTTTGCACACCAAGTATCTTCTTTCCTCTGCTCCTGTTATACGATGGTCGCAGGGGACATAGGTTCAGAGCTTACACATCTCTCTCCCCCACTAGATGGGGGCTCCGGTGGGGCCTCACATGTGTCTGGTTCACTTGAGGAGTTTGTTAAACCTTTAGAAAATTGAATAAAGGGATGGAGGGCATGGGAGCCACTCCTTGGATCCCCTTAAACTTGATGCTGGGGACAGAGGGAAGGACAGCTATTGGGCAGATGAACTAAAGGAAGAAAGTGTGAATATGATCACTGATGGTTTGATAATGTTGATTTTATAGCTGGTATATTTGATGAGTGAGAAGGAAAGGGCTGAAGTTGAGAAACATGACAGTGCAGAATTATTAGAGCTTACTTACGTGCAAAGATGTTCCTCACTGATCTTTTAACAGAAAAACTCTAGAAATAACTTAGCATTCATAAATGGGACATGTGTTATATAAATGTTGGTACATTCATATCATGAGATGCCTTGCAGCCATAGAATGAAAGAGGCAGGTCTATGTGAAGTGACATGGGAAGGGTCAGATTTTGGGAGAGAGCATATTTCATGGTCCAGTGATTAGGAGGACTTAGGTCAGATTGCTTGGATTCAATTCTGACTGGCTATATAGGCTTGGGAACATTTCTTATCCTCTCTAAGACAGTTTCATCATCTGTAAAATGAGGAGATGAGAGTAACTGCTTCAAAGAGTTGTAAGGAATCCAGATATGCTTAGCACAAGTAAGCATGCATTAAGTATTCAATAAATGTTTGCTGTTATTATTAAGTGGGAAAAGGTAAATAGCAAAAAGAATGCATGATGCATGCTGTTGCCCCAATTTTGCCTTTTAATTTTTTTCTTCATGCAAGGATATGTGTGTATATATGTGCACATGTGGGTGAAACAACTGCTACAAGTGATTATTTCTGAGGTATGAGACTAGAGAGAAAAAATGAGGGAGGACTTACATTTTTTTGTCTTAGTTTTTTAAATAAACTTTATGTTTTAGAGCCACAGCAAAATTGAGCCCCCCACACACGTACAACGTCCCCTATTATCAACATTCCACACCAGAGTGGTACATTTGTTACGGTCAATGAACCTACACTGACACATCATTGGGACTTACATTTTAACTTTATACATTTCTGTCTTGTTTTCACTTCTACAATGAGCATGTATTGGTTTTGTAAGTAAAATAATAGTAGTTAATGAATGACTGGGTCACACCTTCAGCTCCAGAATATCCAGAGTCCAGAAAGTGGCCTGGTTCACAAAGGTTACCACACAGAAGGGAATGATCCACCTAGGGCTTCCTGGGAAAGGGGGTTCAGCCTGAAACCCCCCATTCTGCATCACCAGCGTGATGGACACAGTCTGGCCTGCCTGGCTGCTTCCTGCTCTCTTGGAGAGACAACCAACAGCAGCTCCCAAATCTGGGGAGGTCACGCCCTCGGGCCATGCCCGCTTGCCGGTCCTCATGCACATGCCAGCTGCAGAGCACCCAGGGACCAGGTCTGAAAGGCCATGACAGCAGCAAGTATCCTCAGGCCAACTAAGGTACAAGCCCTAGCCAGTTCTGAAGGAAGAGAATAGTGGGGGTGAGGCAGCCAGCCCTGGATTCTAAGTCTCCTCTGGCATTCACTAGCATGGAGTCCTTTCCATGAGCCTCTGTGTCCTCTTTGCACAAAGTTATTGTGAGGATTAAGTGAGAAGATCTGTAAGAAAGGACCTAACACATTACTTGGCACATGGGAGATTCTCAGGAGGTTTTTGTTCACTGTCTATACCACCTGCCTCACAGGCCTAGACCCTGGGATAAGTAAGAAAATGTCTGGTTTGGTTAGGGTGAGAGTAGAGTTGGGGGTGTCCTCCATGGCAAAGTCAGGACAAGGACAGTTTTGGGGCTCCCCAATATGCAGCCCAGGATAGACTGGCTGCATTTCTGGTGCTGTTGAGCCACTCTCTAAACAAGGTCTCAGCCTTTATTTGGGGTGGATGAAAAACATAATCCTCCAAAATGACATCATTCCTGGAGGTCACAAAAGGTACGGAAGAGGCTGCTCCCATGCATGTTGAGAAAATGCGGTGCCTGCTGACCCACTGGAGAGAGAAGTGGGCTGGGAGAGGTGAGCCCTTTGGATCATCTGACTCTCACCTCACCCCTGTGTTTCCCCAGGTGATTCCTACTTCACCCCTTCCGTGTGTGAACAGCTCCTGAACATGAGCTACAGTCTCCATTTGACCTTCATGTATCTGAGTCTCTTAGCTCAAAGGTGAGCTTGGCTACTCCAAAATGGCCTTCGTCTGAATTACTTGGTTATGGGCATGTGGTGGGAGGAGTGGCTTCTGTTCCTACTTACCCATGGCTAGGAAAACTTAGTCCATTCCCTTCCCTGAACCACCTGAACAATAAAACTTCCAACCATTTGTTCTATTTAGAGAATGATGGACAAACCTCCTGTGTTTTTTGAGAAGAAACATGGAGAGCTCCTGAATTATGATGACATTTTGATCTATGGCAAAGGGGTAATAAAATGGAGATGCTAACTCAGCAGCTGAAAATTAGGAGATTTCTCTTTTGGAAAGTTTCAGTTGGTGCACGGGCACAACACACACACACATATGCAAACACAGGCTCTAGTGTCTGTGTGCATCTTTACTCACACATAAACAAGCATGTACTACAAAACCCATTTTCTTTTCCAGGATGTGCATCCAGGGGAATCAGTTTAACATCGAGGTCAGCAGAAGTGACAAGCTTTCCCTGCCTGGCTTTGAGAACCTCACAGCAGGATATAACAAATTTCTCAGACCAAATTTTGGTGGTATGTTATCCTTTGCGTCCAGGCCATCAATTCAAAATGACAGGAACAGAGATGATACACAGTAGAGGGTTTCAGGAGGTTTTAGTTGACTCCATTTTCTGATCTGCAGCCTATTTAAGGATTGGCAGTGACAGATGAGGACAGCTGCCAATTGATTTTTCAGGTTACCTTGAAGAAAGCACTTTGCCTCTCTACCTGCAAGATAAAGAAATGCTCTTCCCCACTGAGGAAGTTGCAAGAGCCTCCTAACACCCTCCTGCACACTGTCTTCCTTCTGCCAGCATCATTATTCAAGGAACTCACCATGTGCCACCAGGACTACCCCACCTGGTCTTCCTGCCTCCAGCCTGCCCCTCTCAACTAACTCCCCACCCTGCCATCTGGATGATCCTCTTGGGTCATTTGCCTGCTCAGAACACTTGCATGCACCCAGCATCTTCTCCGAATCCAGGCACACCACTTCCTCCCCAGCTCAGCCTCTGTTTGTTCCATTCTCATCCTCCCCAATTCCTCCTTCTGCACCTCCCACAATGCTCCACAGTGTGCCCCAAATGCTCCCTGAGGTCCTTGGTCTCCCCAGCTCTTGCACCTTTGCAGAAGCTGTTTATCTCCCTGGAATTCCTTCTTCCAACTGGACTTCCTGGAAAAATCCCAATTCTCCTTCATGTCTCAGAGCAAAGGCTACCTCCTCTGAGAAGCCTTCCCTGATTCTGCCAGGCCCCATCCCCTTTCTTCAAACTTTATTTTGAACATACCTCCAAATCATAGCCATTACTCTGTTAAACAGTAACTGCTTTATGTCTGTCTCAGCTCCAGGCTGCAGCCCCTTGGAGGAGTCTTGCTTCATTTACCTCACTAACCCCAGCAGAAGCTCAATGCTTGACATATAACAAGCTGTCAATTAATATTCATTGAAAGAATGAGGCGAGGAGGGAGGGAATGTGACCGATTACATACCTCTTTACAGCAGGAAGTAATAGAAAGAGCCTTGGAGTTAAACAAACCTGGGTTTAGCTCCTAGCTCTAGTCCTTTGCAAGTACCTTAGCTTTCTGAACCTCAGTTTCCCTTTCTGTAAAATGCAGACATCCCCCCTAACTCACAGGGAGGACTGAATGAGGTGAAGTGTGTCAACACGAAGCACAGTGCCTGCAAATTAGAGGGTGCACTATATTAATCCCTTTCTCTCCCTGCTCCTCCCTCCAGAAGATAAAATTCTCTAATCAGATCTACTATTAGTGTGTTAGTCCGGACTCTCTGAGGATCTTCAAGATATTTATTGGGACAATCTCTAGGAGAGAAAATGGAACAGGAAGAGAAGGAAGCTGGATGAGTTGTCAGACCACAATGCAGGTCTGGCCCAGGGGAAGGAGAGAAGGAAGAAAGGATGGGTGGAAGTGTCTTAGATGTCAGTGCAGTTCTCAATGTGTTTGGACAGGCCACCAGGGAGTCCTTGAGCCATGGGAGGAGTTGCCCATCAGAGGAGTCTCCCGTCTCTGTGCCTGCAAGGAACAGACCTGCCTTAGCTCCCTGCTGTGCCCAGTCACTGGTTGGCCACCGCCAAGGGAAGCATGGCCTCAGAGCAAGTGTAATAACAGATTCCAGGGCACAGCTCGGTCAATTACACCCCTTCAGCTGAAGATCTGACAGTCACATTTTCCTGGCCACACAATTAGAATTTGAGATTTTTAAGTTAAGGAACCTAGAAAGGGTTCAACATCCCCTGGTTTTCCCAGGTCCTGTTGAACACTAATGGCAAACATGTGAGTCTGTGTACACCTTGGTTAGGTCCATTCAACAATTTCTCTTGCCTCTAAAACCTTAAACAATTAAGCCAGGATACTGCCCTTCTTGTTTGCCTGCTTACTAGCCAACAAGATGTGGCATCCTCGAGCATAAGAGTTCATTCTGAGAACAAGGATCCTGGGGTGGACCTAAGGAGATGTAAGGCCCAGAACCACCTGGAGTGAAAATGGGGTAAGGGGTCCTCAATCAAAAAGAGGGGAAGGCACATACCCCCACCCCTTGTTTTGTGCCTTTTGGCCTTCTGCCTCCTAAAGGAACCTACACTTGCATGGCAGCCTGAAGGCCTATGGAGGAGCCATTGCTCTTTGTAATGTCTGTGCACCAGCTTCTAGGACCCTGAGGTCCTTACGAGACAAGACCTCCATAGGATTTTTCAGGGAAAAAGCTGGACAGAGCAAAGGTTTGCAAGCAGGCACTTATTGAGCACTACCCAGGAACTGACTTTGACCTCTTTCCTAGGAGAAAGCTGCCCTCTGGTGGCACAGCTTACTTTTATAACTCAAGGGGAAGAAAGAGCAAACTCTGGTCCATAAAAAAGCCAGCTGAGGCAAGGCCTGGATTAGACCATAGAGAAACAAACTAAACAAAAAACACAATGGGATGGAGCTCTCGTGTGTTTTCCATTCTCCGCATTCTATACGAAGGGCAACTAATACTGGCCAACTACCCACTGTGTTCAAGGCACTTAAAATAGATGTTATAACCTTCCCAACACAATTCTCAGTGGTAGGTACCTGTCTTAACAAGTACTTGCTACAACAGAATGCCTGAGATTGGGTAATTTATAATGAGCAGAAATTTATTGGCTCACAGTTCTGGAGGCTGGGAAGTGCAAGATTGAGGGGCAGCATCTAGCAAGGGCCTTTTTGCTGCATCATCACTTGGAGAAAGGTGGGAGGGTGAGAGAGAAGGAAAAGGGGGCCGAACTGGCCCTTTTATTATGCACCAGTCCCACCCATGATGGTGGAGCCCTCATGCCCTAATCAACATCTAAAGTCCCACCTCTCAATACGATTATAATGGCAATTAAATGTCAATTTGAAGAGGACAAATATCAGACAATAGCAGGTAACAAACTGTAGCACAGAGAAGTTTAGGAATTTGCTCAAGGTCACAAGGCTATTAAATGGCAGGCATGGGATTTAAACACCTCTCTCTGACTCCAACCTCCTCTTTGGTGCTGTACCTTGCTGCCTGGAGCAGAAAGCCACTTAGCACACACCCCTTCAGCACCTTCCAGGGTCTGCCCCCAAATATCTCCCCTTTTCCACCAGGTATGAATGCACAATTATTTTTTAATCGCATTGGCTTTAAAAGTCCATTTCCAAATTCCTATCTACATTCTATGTCTTGGTTTTCCTTAGATTAATAATTAGATTGCTTTGTCTGACTCCTACCAATTAGGCGTTTTTAAGCTTCTTTTGAATTCCACCTCTCCTGTTCCCGGTTAAGGCATTGTCACCATTCCCTGGGGCACCTCGACTACCTACCACAAGTGAATAAATACTATTGTATCTATTATCCTGCTGAACACAGTTGGTCCTTATGGAAGAGAGGGGGAAGAGAAGGAAAATGCTACTTATTGAGTGCCTGTTACATGACAGACACAGTGCTGGGAGTTTTATGCAGATAACCACATATGAGCACTTTCTGGAAATGCTGGGCAGGCACTTCACACACATTCCCATTTGCCACCTCCCAAAAAGAAGCTGTCATACACCTAACCTCATTTAACCATATCCATGACCCTATGATGTCATTAGTATTATCTCCACCTGCAGGTAAGAAAACTGCAGCTCTGAAAGTTCCAGTAACTTTTCTCAAATCACAAAGCTGGGATATGACAGAGCTGGGATCTAAATTCACATTTTTCAGACTCGGGGGCTTTTCTTCCACATCAGTCTAAACTTCCCTGCCTGGCCTGGCTTCTGAGAAACATGGCTCCAACATCTCGCTCTCTAGAGTTAAGACTGGCAGTTTGATCCGTCTGCCAAGACTCCAGGATCGAGGCCTAATAGAACCTGTACATAGAACCAAGTGGGGAAGGTTCCAGAATTCTAAATAGTTTAGTCTTCCAGGAGAGTAAAGGAAGAGGAGGAATGTGTCAGGAGGTGAGCATGAGCTCGGCTATAAGCAGTCTTGAATGCCATCTGGTGGTAAATTTACTTAGTCAAGGGGATGCAGGAGACATCTGTGCACAATCAGATGACCAAATCTCTGTTACATTCCTAAATGATTAGTCCCTTGCAAGTTCCATAGGAAAAATCCTCCATGTAAAAAGTAGCAAATATCTCACCTCTATGTTCTTTAAAATATGCACTAATTAATACAGTGTGGTCCCTCATGTATTAAGATAACTACATATTGGTACACATTTTTCATACGAAAAGGAGGCACACTATACATAAGGGTTATTCCTGAGAGGGGGAAGATAGAAATTAGCCTTTTACTTTTTGTATTTCTAGATCATTTAAATTTTTCTAACAAGCGAGAACTACTACTTTTGTAATGTTTTAAGGGTTATTCCTGAGAGGGGGAAGATAGAAATTAGCCTTTTACTTTTTGTATTTCTAGATCGTTTAAATTTTTCTAACAAGCGAGAACTACTACTTTTGTAATGTTTTGGGTTTTTAAAAATACATTAATGTAGTCTCAGGAAATCTTATATTTGTTTTTCTGTGTAAGTTTTTCCAGTTTTTTCTTCCTTCTTAGGAGAACCAGTTCAGATAGCGCTGACTCTGGACGTTGCGAGTATTTCTAGTATTTCAGAGAGCAACATGGTGAGTGGTGTCCCTTTGTGTTCTACCCAAGGAGTCCCTCTCCTCATGTTTAATGGGGATACAATCTCTAGCTACTCAAAAGCAGACAAGAAAGACTTACAGCCCTACTGCATTTGGAATGGTAGAAGCTGGAGACCTAGCCCCAAAATCAAGACAGTGCAAGATTCACGTAGACAGATTTTCTGAATATCAGGAAGAAAATGGCTTCACAGGCCATATATTAGTCCGTTTCTGTTGCTTATAACAGAATACCTGAAACTGGGTAATTTATAAAGAAATGAAATTTATTTCTCACAGTTTTGGAGGCTGAGAAGTCCACAGTCCAGGGAACACATCAGGTGAGGGCCATTTTCTTGGTTGTGACTCTCCATGGCAATGCAGGGTGTCACATGGCAAGAATGAGCGAAGCAAGAGAGAGCTAAGCTTCTCACTTGATCTCCTTGTCAAGTCATCAAAACATTATCCATGGGCCGGGCCGGTGG